GTCTCATCCCTGCCAGCAAGGAGCCCGTGACTCCCCCGTGTGCTCCATCCATACTTTATTCTGGAAACTGCAGGCATTAGAACTACTCAAGGTCCCCAAAGTGCAGGAGGGACATGCTGGGGGGGTAAGGTCTGGAAAACGGGGTGAGGGGAGGAGAAGAGGTGACGCCATCCCTTCCTGGGATAGCCAGGGTGAGCTGGGACACCGCTGGGGATGGGAAAGGGGAACTCAGGTGTGGGAATGGAGGGGCTGGGGCTGTGGATCTGGGTGGGGAGCAGGGTGGGCGCACCCTGGGTGGGTCCTGGGGTCCCCTGAGCTCCGGGAGGAGGTGGCTCTGTGGTGTGAGGGGGTGCAGGGGAAGGGCGTGGTAGCTGGAGTTAATCCTCGTAGTATTTGGTGAGGAACTGGGTCTTGGCCACAGGGTAACCCAGCCCAAAGTCTTCCACGAAGCCCTTCAGGTCCCAGGAACCTGGGGAGAGAGGGAAAAGGGGGTGAGCAGGGCTGGAGGATGGGGATGCTCCGGGACCAGCTCCAGGCTGTGCTGCTGCTGCTCTGCCCACACCACATCCTGCACCCCTGGGAGGCACCGGGGACAGCAGGGAGCCCAGGGCACCCCAACCCTGAGCATCCCCAGGGGGCACATGGGGCTGGTTCCTCTCCTGCCTCTCTGGATTTCGGAGCAGACCTTTCTGTAGTTTCCTGCGAGCCCATCCCAGGGGTGGCTGGGCTGGAAATCCCCTGAGGGCACGTGGGGGTGATGCAGGAGATCCCCCATGCCCCTCACTCCTGTGCACCCATCCACAAACTGCAGGTTCTTCATTCCTGACCTTCCTCCTCTGCCCTGACCCGAGGCTGCTGGAGGTCTGGGGGCAGCCCGTGGCTGGATCCAGCTGTGGTGTTTCCTACGGAGGTGGCAGGGAAATCCTCTCCTGGGCAGGAGGGGTTCCCTTGTACCTTGTGGGCCAGAAATCCCCCTGCACCCTGCCAGGGCTTGACAGCCAGCGTGGGTCTGGCTGGTGGCTGCTGGAGCATCCTGCTCCCAACCAGAGGGGCTTTCCCAGGGACTGAAACAGCTCACACCGCCACCACTGCCCCTCCCTGTGGGACACGGGATGGGACACTTGGGCCTTGGTGTCACGAGGTGGGAAAAGGGGCCCATTGTTTATCTGAAACCTGCCCTCTCCTCTTCCTGGCTGCTCTTTAATGTCACACCACAGCCTGGCAGCCCTTTATCTGCCGTCACATCTCAGCCCCAACTGGAGCAAAGCGTCCTCTTTGCTCTTGCAAAAGTGCTGAGCAAAACCTGAGCTGCTGCATCACCTGCATGGGGTTGGGGGGTAGTGGTGGCTCAGGGTGCTGATGGAGCTCCCACCTGCTCCCCACCTTGGGTTCTGAGCTCCAGGAGGCTCTGGAGACGCTCCTGGTGATGGCACTGCACCCTGCAACCTCGTGGAGCTGCAACAGGCCATGGCTGAGACGCTCCAGTGCCCAAGAAGGAGGTGACAGGATGCTCAGGACAGACCCTGCATCCCACATTCCAGCTGGGAGAGGTGTTGGAACGCATCAGGCTGCTGCTGGTGTCCCCACATCATCACTGCCACCTTCTGAGGGCCCAAACCAAGCCGAGAGCGAGGCCAGTCCTGACGTCCCGCACTGGTGTCACCCCCAACTGGGACACAGAGCCACAAACACCTCCATCCCCAAATTCCACCCCTGGCAGGAGGGGAAGCTGCTCACTTCAGGGCCTCAATCCACCCCCTCCCCTCCGTGCCAGGGGGGTCCCAGTGAGCGTGGCACCAGGGAAAGGGGTCTCTGGGGGGGGACACTCCCGCCGCGCCCGCAGCCTCTGCCGGGTGCCTTTCATCCGGCGGCTTTCAAAGCGCTGGGAAAACCCCGGGGGAGAGCAGCCCGTGCCCCCTGGGAGCAGGGTGAGAGCGAGACGCGGCACCCCCCGACTCCCAGGGGGGGCTGGGGCTGTCACTGATGTTCGTGGAGCCCCGGGAGAGGCGCGGGATGAAAGGAACCGGAGGAGGCAGAGCCGCCGCCGTGGGGCTGCAGGCGCCGGCCCCGGCTCTCGCCCCGTGCGTGGGGTTGGGGTTTTTCCTGACCTACTTTCCCACCTGCCATGGCACCGGTTGTGCCCGGTCGTCCTGGGTAGGGAAAGCCCCAGGGCAGCCGCCAGGGTGGCAAAGGAGGTGATGCACCGGCAGGATATGGGGTCTGGGGGTCTGGATGCCCCCCTGCACCCCAAATCCAACCTGAAGCAGGTGCCCCATCCTGGCATGGCCACCAGGGTGACATCCCTGTGCCAGCCATCCCAAATCACACCAACTGGCTGCCAGGGCCAAGGACTGTGAGTCACTGGGATCAGGGAGCTGGGAAGGGAGCGGGATGGGCCGGAGGGGCCAGCCAGGGAGCCGAGGTCGCAGTGCCACTGTCCCCTCTCCCTGCCACAACAATACAGCGTTTCATCCGTGGCTTGGTCCGTTTTCAAGCTCGTTTCCCGAGGATTATATCATCACACTCGGCCCTTATCTGAGGAAGGGGAGTGCCCGCTGACACCCACACGTGCCTGGCTGCCTGATCCAGGGGAAACTGAGGCACGAGGCACCCTCTGGGCTTGGGGAGCTCGGCATCCCTCTGACCCCATGGCTCCCCCAGCGCTGCCACTGCCCACTGCCCCCCTATAAACACTGGTTCCCTCCTCCCCTGGCTATAATTTATCAGTCTCATCAGCGGGAATGTTCTCCTGATAGGAGCCCTGATGCTTCTCTGCCAAGATTAATGATGTCCCGGCGGAGGTGGGCGGGAGGGAGGGAGGTCGGTGGCTGCTGCTCTGGTCACCATTAAGTGACACCCGGGGGCTCAGGCCGGGACCATGAGCTCCCCCCTCAGCCCTTCGCTGCCTCCCATCCCAGCCACAGCCTTTCCCTCCCTGCTGGGGCCCAGTCCAACCCGATTTTCCAGCTGGGTGGATCGGATTTGAGGAGCACAAGGTCGGCTCGTGAGTCAATGCTGCTGCCCCGATCCCGAGCTGGAGCTGGAGAAGGGATGGAGCCACGGGGAGGGTGGCTGGTTGGGCTCATCCCAGTGCCTGGTCCCCAGAGGGGGCTCACTGCTTCCCTGAGGCAAAATTTCCAGGAGGAGAAAGTCCACATTCCCAGCTGTAAAATATCTTTCCAGGGTGGGAGGAGGATTGGGATGCTGGAGCATCTCTCCATTCTCACCGGGGCTGGTGGGCACCAGAACAGGGTGGAAGCAGAGGGAGCACCAGCAGGTGCAACTAAACCTCAAGGTTTTGTGCTAATTAACGCTGCCCCTCAATGAAAGCAGCCAAAGGGACTTTAATTCCCCCGTACCGCAGCCGGGGTCTGCCGGGTGCCTGAATTCCCCGGGCCGAGGGATTTTCCCGTGGCAGCTCCTGCCGCCGGACCGAGAGCTCACGGCAGTGCCCCCGCCCCGGGGATGCCACGGGTGGCTCTGACATTTCGCACACACCACCACAGACTCTTATCTTGCATCTCCCCAAAAATGCAACCGCGGCCTGTGACACTCCTGGCTGGGAGGGGGAAGTGGGGAGAGCGGGAGGAACGGCGGCAGGGACACCCCAAACATCCCCACCCACGTCCCCAGCGGGGACAGAGCCGGTGCTTGGTGGCAATTTAGCGGCCAAAAAAGTGGAGTGAATCAGCCTCCAGTGGAGAAACTGAGGCCCTGAGAGAGCTCTTTGCCCGAGGTCACTCAGAGCCGGCTGGTGCCAGTGTTGATCAGAAACGCTCACGGAGAAGGATC